TGTGCCATTAACTCTACGAAACTGGTGTTTTGTTTTAATAATATCGAGGATGTCTTCATTAATCCATTTTGGTTGGGTGTCCTTCTTTACTCGTTTTTTCCTGGATGCATGTTTTTCAAGGACAGAGACAAATGTATCAGTGATCAAATCGCTCCATAAAATCATTTTTGGGAGTTTGAATGCCGGAATTATATGACGAGTGTGTAGCCAGAGTGATATTGTGATGTGCATCCGAACGACAAACGAGCGTGAAAACCACCGATTTGGATATATTATTTCGATTCTAACACATCAACAAATAAATGCTGTCGTACCTGATATTAAGCTCAATTAGCCTGATTTAATTCCGTACTTGCTTTCATCGCGTCGCATTTTAGTGACTATTTCACAAGTATAATAAATACGTCACATCTCCAAATTTAGAACATCTAAAAACGTCTTTCTAACATGACCTGCATTTTTCCCAATTGAACATAGAAATACCGAAAGTGTGTGTTATTATGCAATAAAATCACTGTTTGACGTTCTTTATTTAGATTGCGTTATAATCATAGACAGGATCAATCTGATGATGAATTATACTTGTGAAGAAATCAATTAAAGTATAAATATTAAGAAAAACACCAGTAAACCTGACTACGATATATGCAAAATACAATTTAGTAATTGACATATGTATAGAAAAAGACATTCAAACAGATCTTTGGAATTCATTCCATTTGGTGATAAAATATCCAAGTGATATATCCATAATGTCTCGAGGCAAAAATAGAAATTCTTGATAACATGTTCTTGCGTATTAAAATTTTCAGACACATTTGCAGTTTTTTTTTCAAGATAATGATTTTCTGCTTAAGCCGGTGCTAGGGGGCGTGGAGCGCAACTTGCACTTTTCAGTACCGTCCATGAACAGGCTCAATCAAACCGATTTTGTCCTGTTTGGGCTTTCTTTAGGGATTCTGTTTTCCTCGATTTTATATCAACTTTGCGACGATTCATACGTTGGGAACATTTTTGATTAGTTGTCCAACATATTGTTTGGAACATTTTTTGCATGTAATCAAATATATTACATCAGAAAGACAACATGATATATACCTTATGTCATAACAAAGATGCATTGCTGGTACTTGTAAATGAGTTTTTAACAATGGGTCAAGCGACATCCGTTGCATTTTGATACGTACCAGTTTTAGGTCAATTGTTCTGTTTAGAGTGAAAGAAAATATCTTGAATATTCTTTGGCCGACTATATGCAATGCTAGGTATATAGGTATACAGTTGTTAAACACTTTCATGTTTAGAATATTTGTAACGATTCTAGTAATGGTTTATTATCTTACCAGTATAAGGCAAGGATGGATTGTTAATGCATACAAAGAATGACTTTATCCATACTTGTTTTATTAGTTAAAAGAGAGTGTTGCATAATTTAAAGAAGTCACATGTTTAAATGTATCAAATATTTACAATATTTGCAGGATAATTACGAGATTCAAAATATTCACTGATTTGGCCATTTCCTTTCTAAAACCATCATTATATGATGAAAATAACCTAAAGCGTTTAGTTTGACTAAACGGAATACCTTTTTTGCAATACTTAGGGTGGCATGATGACTTTAGTATCTTTTTCATGAACATTAGTATGCAGGGTTGTGGGGATACAACGAAGCATATCAGTGTTTTCCTTTTATCACAGAAGTCTTTGTGGACCTATTATTCTATCATTTATTTGTTTTTTTGAATTCCTAATCAGTTACAAATTATTTATTATTTAGTGATTAACCTGTCCGTGCTCTGTCTTGTGTCCTGTACTGTTTTTGTTTGGGGTCCGCCTGGGATCCTTGCCAATGGTTCTTGTTGCTGGGTCATATGGGGTTGCATTCATTGAATACCGCCTTTCCTTGTTGATCTTGTTTATCTTTACGTTTATTTATGAAAAAAGACGCAACACAAGGGGCATATATTGTACCCTTTGATGTACGTAATATTTGATATATTAGTTCTATTAAAGTGACATTATGCTCATATTTTCAACAGTTGATATTGGAAAATATTCAGTATAAAATTATAAATATGCCTAAAATATAAAAAAGACTGCCCCAACTTTTTATAAACTGAGCGTTAAAGGTAAATTGCAATAGATATTGACAGGAATTTCATTTGGATCTGTGCACTATTTATTGTTTATGGGAGCTAAATTATTAAATTAAAAGGGATTATGGCAAAATGAAAACTTATTTTGATATTCATCTGTTCACTCACTATATACCCTTGGATGGGCATCATGTCACTTTAAATTGAAGGTGGTTTTCGTAATAGTCTAAATCTATTTTCCATAAAGTATTAACCAGCATTAATGCCTTTGTCATTAATGCCTAGACATATGCCTAGACATATGCAACAATGTCTATTTTGTAGAATCTTTCAAAAAGAAAAGGTCTGAAGTGGCTTTTACGTAAGATGGCAAAGATTTCATGTATGGTTTTAAAATAGTGTCAACATACGCTTTCTGCCTAAATAATCGGGCTACCTGGATAACCAAGGCGTTTATCAGAATAAAATGTTTTATAAAGTTTAGTTGGCCGATAACTGTCGCACTATGTATGCCATGGATAAAGCGCTTCCAACGTAGATTCTCTTATATTGTCTAAATACAATTAGGTTTTTCAAATTAGAATGGTAACCACTTCATGTTGAATTTTTAATTCTGCTATTTGCAGTGCTAGGGGGAGTAGACTGTAGCTTGCAATTTCTAGTACCTATTTAAATACTGCTTAATCGAACGGAGAATACAACATTTTTCAATTTTGCGGTTTTTGGCTTTCTCAAAGGATCCTTTTCTGTTATTTAAAGTTTGTTCAGTGCTAGTGTCCAGAAAGGAAGTAAAGTATGTAAGAAACATTTGTGTCACATATTAAGCACTTGACATCTGTTTTCTGGACAGCATAAATCGAGATTAAACAAGAATTTGGCGGGGCAGGTTAATCATGTAATAAACCAACTGACCTTGGTGGTAATTATTACAAAAAATGTATTGTACTGGTAATTCACACATATACCTTAAATAATGAGTATCCTTATCATAACTGTAATATCCTTAAATTCAAGCCCTGGGGTGGGGTCATTGGTAATACTAGTACACTCTAATTTATGTACAATAAATATCTTGCCCTTTTTGCTCTACTTCATCAAAGAAAACTTACTTTTACCAATATCATGTTTAATAGTGCAGATGATGCTTTGGCTATTTTTCCAGGCGAATAGTTTTGTTTGATTAAAAAGATAAAAATCACCATATAATATAATTATATTTTTTAGGGTTAAATGAGACAATAGAAGATAATATCATTGACAACATTATTGTTCGTACATTATATCTATTTTTGCACATCAGAAAACATAAAATTAATTAGAATGCTTGTATAAAAATAGCATTTTAAGGACAAAACAGAGAAAATAAGAATACCTAAAGAAAGCCAAACACGGCAAAATTGAAAATGGTGCAGGTTCGGTTTGATTGAGCCTGTTCATGGACGGTACTGTCAAGTGCAAAAATACTGTCCACGCCCCCTAGCACCGGCTTAAGCAGAATTCAAGATTTAACATGGACTGGTACAATTTTGAATTTTGAAACATCCGCAAATGTGTTCATATGGCGGTTATCATGGAACCTTCAATGTGACAGTAAAGTGCAATTCCATGAAAAGCGGCATATGGTCCCCAAGTAAAAAAAATGCGTGTGCCCTTAACGAGAAAACAATTGGCGGAACTAAATAAAATAGAATTTTGAAAGGGGATCAGAGGTTATGAAGGCTGCATATCACAGATAAGACGTCAAATTTAAAAGCAGGCTACATATCCTAAGGGTGATTCAACAGTATTCAAATGACCACCCAACAAGAAAATAGCCGAATAGAAAGAACTTAATTTCCACATTACTACAACATAATTGTTGCATTTCTTTTTGGTCATAGCAAGAGTCACTTAGATCGGTAGAATGAACATGCATTGAAACTGGTCATAAACAGGTTGAAGATGTTCCGCTATAGTCGAATAGGGTCAACAATTCTCTGCAAAAAAGCAAACCGTTCAAATCCAAACAACAACTAAGATATTTGTTGCAACTATTGACCAGCGATAAACGTACGTTTTGTTAAATCATTTTTAATTTCACCTTGAAATTTGAGACAACACGTAGAATGAGTACATATTTTGAACTATTATCGATTACTGCTTTCCTGAACTCTAATTTGTACTCTAGTTAAATGAAGTGTTTGTGGGAAATATTTATCAAATTCCTTCTCAGAGATTCTGGCCTGTTATCCTACAGTTAAATTTCCTACCACTTGAGCACAAATATCTGGAAAAGGTGTGATCCCTCGGATGCATTAATCACAACAATATGTTATGAAATTTGCAGACTCGGTTTGATTGAGTCAGTACATGAGGGATAATGAAAAAGTGCAATATCCTTTAAGCCCCTTAGCACCGGCTTGAGTGGTTCTCAATTTGCAACACTTAAAAGTGTTGGAAGTGTTTTTCTTGATAGTTAGAACTCTGAACATATATCCTAGTATACACTTAAAGACGTTGTGGTTATTTTCGTTTAATTACACTTACAAAAACTCAACTGTAGCACAAACTTCACAGGCAGAGTAAAAACGTGTTAAGAAACTTCACAGTGTTTTTTAGAGTAACAAATGTGACCACAGATATTAGCAGCTGCATTTCTCACGTGACAAATGTTATCCTGGTCAAAGAACGCGTATTGTTAGGTAAATGGATATTGTACATGGATGGAATAGAAAAGGACGTATTTAATGTTCACAGTTTAAATTATTTACGCGTGTACATGACTACCAAATAAACAGTTGTGCTAGAACACAAAAACTAAGTTTATTACCATAATGGCATATGAATAATGTATAAAATGTCAAAGTATCAATATACCAGTGGTTATTTGTGTGCATTTGGAAGCAATCAAATCATTTGAGTTAAAATCTTTCATCACAGAGGGTACACATTTAAAATTTTGTCATATCGTTTAAACAAAGCAGATATAAAGATGTGTTTTGAAATAACAAAGATGATTGTTCTGTACTTCATTTCAGTTTTACTTGGACTCTGCCTCTGTGTTAAACTTAAATTGTTTCAAACTGATCATCGAGTTACCGCTGTATCTGAAACTTATGACAATCTTTCGTTACTGGACTGCTCGGTTCTCTTTCAAAATGATAAAAAAAGATTTTCTTTCAATTACAACAAAGAAACGCAGATTTGTGAAATGAGTAACAACTTCCCTGAGGGTCTGACAATTAATTCTACAGGCTGGAAGGTGTACTCACTAGGTAAATACATCATCATCTTTATTTTTATTATTGCTATTGACATCAACGTACACTTTTTGTGCTGTTATAATCGTTATTTAATTTCAATTGTTCACAAAGATATTTATGTTATTGTTGTTTATATAGTCGTGTGAGTTCATACGCTTTCCTATTACACTTCCATTGAACGAACTATGTCATTTAGGTATTCTTGTTTTCTCTACTATATAGTACCATGACAAGCTATTCAATCATTCTGTATCTTCAGAAGCTACTTTAAATACAGATACGCCATTACTCAGAAAAATTGTCGGAGCCGATCTAATTTAAAAAAAAGAAGAAAAAAAAGAAACGTTATAAGTTTCCCTGCCTTGTTATTTCCTGAAAACGGGATACAGTTTTTCTCTAAATGCTCCCACTCGGATTACCAAACAAAATATATCCCATTTAGGTTTAAACCAGACAGTAAAACGTTGCTTCTTTTAAAATTAAATCAAGTTCTAAAGCCAATCTTTTCCGATATTCCAACGATTACTTATAATACAAAATATATGGTTTATTATTTTTATATTATGTAGGTAGGATAGTTTCTTTGTTTCGGCGACAATTCGATTGGATAGTGATATTAAAGAAAGTGAAACTATTTTTGCGTGAAGAAACTAAACTTAATAATATGATATTCCAGAAAGTAACTATTTAATATAAGAAGTGCTCTAAAATTATAATATTATAACTTGCACAGAAACGATTCTTATTTGTTGAGAGTGGACTTTAATTTGAAATATCATAACAAATACATGTAATGCAAGAATGTGATAACGATGTATGCTTTTGTGCAGTAGTATTGCAGAATTGCGCAATGGTTACAGTTATAGTTTTAGTATTCCCCCTTCTTTCCCCGCCTTTGTGCCCTGTCCAATATTTGGTTAGGTGCTTTCATGGTGCCCTGTTATTGTGACTGGTAACTGTTTGGGGCTGCGTTATCGAAAATGTCTATCCTTGTTTGCTCCCCGCTGCTTAATGTCGCTCTTGACGTGTGTGGTTATTTTTAGCTCACCTGAGTACACCGTGCTCATGGCGAGCTATTGTGATCCCCCACCGTCCGTCGTCAACAATTTCTTTAAACAACATTTTCTCAAAACCAATGACTGCACAGTAACCAAACTTTACCTCTAACAATGTTGTTCAAATTATAGCTCTGGGGTCTAAATTGGCCCACCCCGGGGATCATAGGTTTTTCTTATATTTATATAGTAGAAACTTAAAAATCTTCTTGTTTGAAGGTACAAGGCTTAGAGCTTAGATATTTGGCATTTAATATCACCTATAGGTCCTTTACCAAAGTTGTTCGAATTTAAGCCTTGGGGTCAAAATTGGCCCCGCCCCGGGGTCATAGGTTTTCCTTATATGTATATAGTAAAAACTTACAAAAACATCTCCTCTGAATTGACAAATGCTTGAGGTTAGATATTTGGCATGAATCATTGTGTAGTGCAACAAGATTGTTCAAATTATAGCCCTAGGGTCAAAATTGGCCCTGCCCCGGGGTCAAAGGGTTTTTGTTTTATATGTGTATTGTAAAAACTGTTCCCATCCACAAATTTAACCTTGATCATAACTTTAGTTATTGGTTTATTGTCTTTAAACATCAACTTCTTATCTACACAAAAAATTAACCCTGTTTTGTATATTTTTAAGACCTGGTAGCTCTACGTTTGTATATCAATTGCATTGAGTACTCAGGGAAGCGCATTGGGGCCAAAGACCCCTTGTTTATGCATGTTGTCATTGTCAGTATGAATTATTGCCAATACAGATTGAAAACTTCGCAATGTCTTTCCAATGTACCAACCAATTTATATGCAAAACACACTTATAGGCAAAATATTTAATCTGTGTTGAGTGGTTTTGTGTACGTATATAACGAATTTGGTAATCGTCATTTCCTTTTTTTAAGTAAATTAATTAAATACTTTATGTTCTAATCGCACCTATGCAAATACTGGAAAATAACGTCATACAATACTCAATAACCAAGGTTTATCTGGCATTGATCACTGTTGTTAGTTATTAATGTGTTATGTGAAAATTGCTATTGAATAATTAGGACTCTATTCATACCCTCGCTATGGAAACAGGACATAATGATCTAAGTTAAACAAAAACAAACACGTTTCCTGTTTTTGGTTATTAATAATCAACAGTTCTTGCTTTTACCGTTGCGCTTTCTCCTTTTTTGTTTAGTGTCCTGATGGGTTCCTAACTTGACGTATTTGAAATAAATGTTTATTCAATTCTCGAACGGCAGTAAACAAATTTAATTAGATGTTTTTCAGAACGTAGTGATATGTTTGACTTTATTTTTTAATCTTTGATTAGAGGATGCTTTTTTACAACAACACATGATAAAAGTCCTATTTCAAACGATCATTTCTTTTCGATTTTTAGATTCAAAGAATCTTATTTCCATATCAATGTGCTTTGAGATTTCATGCTTTTTAATTTAAAAAGTAAAAGACTATGTTTGTAATGAATGGTGGCTACAGTACTTGCTTGTCTCAGCTAGTGACCATGTCAGCCACATATACATATGAAACGAGGACACCTTCAGGGACTTATTCAATTCATCGATATAACATTTTATATGGCATAGATATGCAACCTGAAACCAAAGTAACGTTAAACAAGAAATATCTTTAAAAAAGATAATCGGCGTAAATTCAGTGCAAAATGTCTCATAGCTTTAGAATATTTTCAAAATTAATGATATTTATACTTTATAACAATATAAATGTCTAAATTGAAATATATTTGGTGGTTACTAGTATAATCTATGACAGTTGTCTAAACTTAGCTGAAACATGTATGCTCCTATAATGTCAACAAATTAGTCATGTTATTATAGATGCTAGAAGCTTTTTTGTCACCGTGACTTTTGACTACTGGTTTCAAAGTCAATACCAGATAATAACCAACCACACTACCAAATTTAGAGACTGCAAAGGCCACAATCAGCTGACAACATGAATTTTATTGTTAAATAATATTAACGTATATGTATCTGACCTTCATTTTGTAAAAGCACTTCTGTGCATAAAATGCTGCAATTATTAGGTCATGATAGTAACATCAAAATCTTTTGTTGTTTATATCTTTTATTTATGAAAGAATACAAACTGTAATAAACAATCAATGGAACATATCAACTCTGAACTATACTATTTATAATGCCTTCTTATCTATCTGGCAATGAAAATGAATAATTGAATACTTAAATCAAAAGTTAAACATAACCTTACTAGTAAAAGTTATAATTATGTATTTTATAAAAAAAGGATTTCTATTAAAAATTGCACAGCTTGACTAGTATTTTGTATATACTAGTATGGAGGCTATTCGTTGCCAAAAATCCAGTCTTGTTGATCTGAGTTGAACAGTTTGTTAATGGAAAAATTACAATTGTATTTCTTTGTATGTAAACTCCAATGTTGCATACTTGGATTGAGTTTGCCGATTTAACATTGTAAACATGCATTTCAACAAAATACATTTTGTTAAACGACAAAACATTAACTGATAGTAGCAATACCAAGTGTTCGAATACTCAAAACAGAAGTCACATTCTTAGCTTTACATTGTCGAACCATCATGATTCAGATCAGCATAATCCAGCTTTACACGTTTTTCAATAGCAGATAAAATTAGCTCCGCCCATTTTCCCGCCCACTAAATCATCGTAAATAAACGTATTTTCCGCTATTTTCGGTATTTACCGTCAGCGACAAGAAGCTTATCATACTATTTAGGTGTTTAGTTACTAAACATAATTCACTTGCATGATTGCCTACAATCAACATCAGCGGACTTTTAAGGAATATAGGCATATAAGTTTTAGAAACTTAAAAAAACCCCAAAAAACACCAGGTAACATACTGTCTGAGGTTAAATATTTTTCAAGGAAGTGAAAACGATTGAAAAGACTATATTCAACGACAAATAAATTTTACTGATGGTATTCCAATTTGCATAGGAATGAGTAACATTTACAGTTAAGCTGCTACCTTACCACTTTCAAATTTTCAAGTCAACATCTGATAAAGATTTTACTAATACAGACCAACTTCTGGATGTTGTCTTTCCTAGTAGTACTATTATATTAGTAACCTTAATTCTAGCGTATGACTTGACAAGAAAACAAAACCTTTAACAATAGTAAAATTATAACCAAAGTTTGTACATAACTTTTTATTTTTACCATATATTTTCCAATTTTTCCCATTTTGTTTTTCAATAAGTAAAATTTAAATGAGTCCAATTATGTATGTTGATTATCAATTTATGTATACCTTGTTTATTTTATCTCTTAGAAAGCCATCACTTACAAAAACTTAATAAATATTCTGTGTAGTATTTCATGTAAAAAAAAGAAGTTCTCTGTTTTTGATCATATAGACAGCAAATCTAGACAGCAAATCTAGTAACAGCTATTGACAGCATGTATACACATATTTTAGAGGTGCTATTGATTCAGTACAATGCATAAAAAAGACCTTAACCTACGCCAGCTTACATATATTAAACAATAAAAGGCTAAATCACATCCCTTTGACTCAAAATACCTCCCCATGGAGGTAAACAGAGTTGCCCAGATACACTGAATATTTATTTCAACATTAAAATGGGACAAATTCACAAGTTTTGGTTATACAACGGAATTATCGATAGTAAACTTTGCATTGTTTCGTGGTTATACACTTGGTCAAAAATATGAGTTTTTCTATAACCCAACATAGTCCTTTAAAGAAAGACGGCACAGGCTTATTGTTCAGTTCTCTTTATTCGTGTTGCCAAAAGTGCCTTCCATGTATCGCATTCTAGTATTATTTGCTGAAGGTTAAAAAAAAGATATGCTTAATAGAATTGCCGTGGCTCAAAAAACACTATCATTGATATCAATGAATAGTGGTGTGTGTCATTATATATGGGAAACATTTCCTTATGTTATTTCACCAACTTTAGTT